TAGGAAATAATAGGTCATAGAGGTTGAACACATTAACAAAATGGAATTTTCCTCATTTTAGCATAAGGGAAATGGAAAACAATTTGCAGGAACAAGACTAGAACGTTATGACACTGAAAAGTGACCCACTGAAAATTGGGCCTTCAACAATTATTTGTCAACTTTATCATTCTCCCAGTCCTTTTAAAAACTCCAGACAACATCTTAAAGCTATACAGTTGCTGTAAGACTTTCCCCTAGGTTTTATTTTCAGTGTAGTAACCCTTTTGTGCTTGAAACACGGAGAATATTAGAATAATTGTATTTCCTACCTGTGCATAGAAACGCAGCTCCAATGGCTTCACTGTCGGGTGAGAATACAGGAGCCGTGTGACGAGGAAGTGGTACCAGGTGGTCATGAGCTCCTTCTTCTCCAAAATGGCATCCTCATCTCCCAGCAGGATCTAAAGGGACAAAAACACAGCAGGAATGCTGCACACTCAGTGATGGATACAGCTGCACTCCAGCTCTCCAGAGGCATTGCTCCTGCTCTGCAAAGGTGAGGATTTGTTCAAAATTACATAAACTAAGATCTTTTTCACAGCTCAGCTTACAAATCATCCTTAGGATCCTGGACAGGGAGAGAAACCCAACTGCCCAGGCTGGCAAACCATCAACAGAGGACAGGAGAGATATTAAAGTTACTAATGGCTACACTGGGTGCCTGAAATACACAAGGATAGATCCAATACTTTAGTCCAAAGTTTCCTTTGTTCCCAGCAAGAACACACCTTGCAGATGGACTCCATGTGGGGATTGGAAGCAAAAGTTCCATCCTGTAGATACCGCTGACATTCCTCATGCCAGTGCTGCCACTTCAGCTCCAGCTCTGTCAGTGTCTGGGTATTGCTAAGCTGAACAGAGGGAATAAAGGAATACAAGGAATAAAGGAAACACAAAGTCAAATCACCAGGCCACAGTTTTTGGGCCAAACTCACAGTCACTCCCGATAAAAAGCTAAACATGAGGCTGCCTGTCATCTTTCTGTGTTGTTTTGTTACCTAACAGACTTTTATCTGAATTGCTGGGTCTTTGGCAATTCAAGAACACAAATATCGTTACTATAAAGGAGTAAGAATGAGATATTCTAAAGGGAAACAAACTGTTACAGGGGATACAACCTGGAGGCTTTCCCAACAAACTGCATGGAAAACACACTTTGTACATACACTGGGCACAGGCATCTTCTTCATCAGGTCATCCAAGATTTTGTACATGTTCATGGATGTGGGATTGGCACTGGCCTCCTTGGAGAGCAGGTGCCGCGCTTCGTCCATCCGGCCTTGCAGCACAAAGACATCCACCTGCAAAAACCCCCTGTCCATGAGCTCCACGCTGGGCAAGATTATGGAGCACCCAGCAAAGGGATCAGAGGGGCCTTTTAACCTGTGATTCAGGCACAGGAAGTGGAGGTAAAATGTTTAAATTGTAGGCACTGGTAATTCAAGTAACAGTGGAAGGCTTGACCTCTATGGGTCAGGAAGGATGAGGATGGGAATGAGAACAGCTTCATCCTAAAGCCTACACAGGCAGACAGCAAAGAGGTGTCATGTCCAGCAGGGAAGAGGAAGGAAAGCACAGACATGAATTCCTGTTGCTGAAGAATCTTCCAGGTGGTGATACTCACCACGTTCCAGAAGAGCTTGTGTTTGGATGGACTCTCACTGCTCAGAACTTCCCGGACCATGCTGTCCACGTCGCACACGTGCAGCCGCACCCAGTCCAGCAGGCGCAGCAGGAGGGGCCCAGCTGTGCAGGCACATTTCCCTCTGTCAGTTCCCTCCTCTTTGTTCCCAAACTGCTCTCGCACATTTTGTAACAGTTTGACATCACTAGATGAGATTTACTGACTGGATTTCTACCTGCCACCCCCAAATTACAGTTTCTTAAGCAAAGAGGCCCTGGGAGCACCCAGCCTCTGACAGGTTTTCCTGTGGCAACATGGTCCAGTAGAAAACCCACACTTGAAGAAATAAAAAATTAGTGATCCAGATCATAAATCTTGCAATGCCAAGAGACAAACAGAATATTTCTGTTTATTTTAGCATAACTTCATTATTACTAACTGAATAGGTGGAAGAAATTTGGCACTAGGTGATCAATTTAGATTAAGTAATCTATAATTTTTAAGTCTCTCCTGAATTCTGGGACTGTGTAAGTAGCACATTTGTTTGCATAATACGATTTCCTTCAAAAATTATTTCCTACTTTAAAAGACCAATGTAAACAGACTGACTTAAAAAATGGCAACCTAAATTTAAAGGAGTTATATCAGAGCTGTGTAAATGTCAACTGGCATTGACACATTTGATGCTTAAAGACATGTTTAAGCTTATAAATAAAACAGATTGGCAACAACTTTTGATATCCCTCTTCATAACCTTTCTGACAAAGAAACAATTTAAATCAGAGGAAGAAAAGTAGAAGGAAAATTGAATAGCTTGACATAATTCAGTATAAAGAAGGCAGTTAACTGAGGCAGAAGGCATATTAAAAGGCTTATTGACACTCTGCATATCTCTAAAACATTAAACTATGACACAGGGAATATAATACACATTTTAAACAAAGAAATATGCAAAGAAGAAACCCATCAGTCTTTACACCAGGATAGTTCACAGCTCACCTGTAGCTGATTCAACAAACAGAATCTCACAAAGGTTCCAGATCAGCTCCATTGCAGAGAGAATGGAAACCTGAAGGAAAGCAGAGCCAAGTTTCAGAAACAGTCATTCCACCTGGGTTTTTTAAGCACAAAAAAATGTGGACAGCATCTGCTGTCCACAGCAATCAGTTCTTACAGAGAAACATCCCACTGACATTTCAGAGATAAAAATTAAAAGACACAGGCCACAATGTCACACTCTTTTTTGGTCAGAAAACACTGACACTGTGTAATGAAATGCAACAATAATCTGTCACCAGTGAGCAATCTAACTGGTCTTATTTTCAGCCTTTCTGCACTTCTAAGATTCAATACAAACATCAAAGGCAGAAAGAACAGCCAATGAAGCAACATCACTGCAGCTGATAGGACAGAACTGTGTGAGCACTCTGCTCCTCCCAAAACTGGTGTGAGCACTCTGCTCCTCCCAGAACGCCCCGGTGGATCTGACAGCTCACCCTGAACACCCAGAGGTTGCTGTGAGGCTCAGATGCAGCTGATTGGAATCTGAGAATTTGAGAGGTGAAACACCACACAGCAAGTCTGAAACTTTTCTTGTCAGCTTTGGGATCTGCAACAGCTAATATGTTTATAACATTGCAGTGAATTGAGGTGTTGGGCATCTTTATTGTTTTAGAAGCACAGAAATTAACTATTTATTTCCATTTATTCTTGGTCACGAACTGCATCTCATATAAAAGACAGAGGTAAATCTGAAGTGCCTCATGCCACAGTGGTGGCCTGGTGAATTCACCAGCCAGTAATCCACATTCAACCTGACAGGACTGCAGATTACCTGAGTGCTGTACTGGCCTTGCAGGGCAGGGTCCTGGGTCGAAACTGAGGGAAAAGCAAATAAAGTCAAAGAGCAACATATTTACACCTGACAGCTGCTTCTGAGCTTTGATAGCTTTCCATATATCTGCCACATGAGATACGAAAAGGCTGCAAGTCCCCAGAAAATCAGGTACAATATGGTGGGAAAAAACCAGTCCATGACCAGATTTACAAACCAACGTGGAAATATCCCACATAGAAGTAGAGTCTTGCTAATTACTGAAACCTATACCTGTTATTGTACAGCAGTTGCAGTAAGTTACCATTACAATCCTACTTTCGTAATTGCAACTGGTGTTTCCTTTTCTTGCAGTAAGAGAACAAACAAACAAACTTACCAGCAGCCTGGTGCATGTCCTCCATGCAGGCTCTTATCACTGACCGGTAGTTTTTACTCACTTGAACCAATCTGCCAAACACAAAAAGACTTTGATTGGAGAGAGCTGTTGGAGTTTTAGTGTTATTCCCCCTATAGCTCTGCAAGTTCCTCTGCAGCAACAACTCCCATTACCTGGGTGGATCCAGCTGGAATCAATGAGACTGTACCACATTCTACTAGCATGGTTATTGGAAGGATCCGATCCTTGATTTATAAAATACCCCCAAAAAAGTCATTCTATCTGCCCCGCTGTTGATTCCAGAGCTGGTGAGAGCAGCCTGGCCAAGGGCACTTGCCCCACCTGAGTCGTTCATCAGCCCTTGGCGCTGGTCCCCGGCTGGAGAAGGGGCAGCGGCTGCCTCCCTCCCTCCCTCCCCCTCTCCCCATCCACTCACTGCGCCTTCCGCGACTTCCCCGCCAGCTCCTCCTCGCTCCGCTGCAGCCCCATGAAAATCCCGTGCGACTCGTTGAAGAGTTTCCGCAGGGTCTGGATGTAAATGTCCTGGTCCCTGCGGACCACGAAGACGCAGGAGGAGCTCGGTGCTCCATCCCCGGTACCTGCAACAGAGCCCGTCAGCGCCCGGGCAGCAGCGCCCGCGCTGCCCTCACCCAGAGCCGGGATGGGCACGGGGAGCGGAGCTCACCTGCGCGGCCGAACAGCGTCTCGCACACCAGCACCTCCGCGGGGCCCCAGGCGAAGCAGAGCTGCCGGGCCGAAGGGTCCGCGCCCGGCACCACCTGCAGGGGGACGGTGTCCGTCAGCGGCGCCCCGGCCCCGCACCGCCCGCAGCCCCGCACCGCCCGCAGCCCCGGCCCGGCCTTGCCCCGCCCGCCCATCCCGCACCACCAGCGGCGGCTCCGTGTCCGGCTCGTCCATGGCGGCGGCCGCGCCGCTCCCGTTCCCGCCCGCCGCGGCTCCGAGGCCCCTCCGGGCTGCCCGCGCCGCCGCCTGCGCGCCCCGAGCCCCGCCCGGCCCCGCCGCTGCCGTCCCGGTGGAGCCGCCCGGGCACCGGAGGGACACGGAGGGATCGCGGGTCCCGCCGGCCCGGGACAGGCAGCACCGCTGCCCCGGAAGCGCCGCCCGCCCGCGAGGCCCCGCAGGGCGGGACGGACCCGCCCCGCCCCGCCCCGCCCGAGCCGCCGGCCATGAGGGCTCCGGGCGGGCTGTGGGGATGGACGGATGGCGATGGGATGGGATGGATGCCAGCCCCTCACAGTGTTCCTCGTTTTCTTGTCAGGACAGATTCAGAGCTGGGTGGGAGCATCGCTGGCCCCAGGTGTGTCGTGCAGTGATGTCGTTGGTCAGTCAGCGTTCACAGATTCACCGAACAGGTCAAGTTGGAAGGACCACAAACTCAGGTCCGAATTACCTGCTGCAGCAGGCTCATCTCAGAGTGCATGGCAGTGCCTTGTGTCCAGACAGTCCTGGAATATCTCCAGCAAGGGAGAGCGCACAGCCTGCCTGATCTCTGTCCAAGTGCACAGCCACTGTCACAGTGTTGTTTTCACGCTTACTTCATTGACTGATTGCTGTGTAACAACCATGTCTCCTATTTCTTTATGCATGTCAAACACGTGCAGGTTGAGAAGCCTCTGGCATGTTGAAGGTGATGCTCTCTGGAGCTCTTGGGCATTGATAAAGCTGACTAATCAAATTATGTGCTCTGACTTCAGTGAGTTGCCTGCAGGTTGGGGAAGGACTTGTAATGAAGGAGGATTGAAGCAGGAAGAACTGCCATTGTGCCTCACTCACTCACTCCCTGCCTCAAGGTCCAGGAGGTGGTCGATATCCCCTGCACACTGGGCAGAGGTGCCTTCTGAGGCTGCTGGAGGATCATCACCTTTCTGTTAACGCTGGGATCTCACCTACCACGGCATTCAACTCAATACCATGCTGTGATAAAACACTAACAGCACCCTGCTCCTCTCCTTCCATTCTGCTCTCCTCCCTACTTCGGTGTACTCCTCACTTTTTGCCTGTGCTAGCCAATAAGCAAGTTCTTCAGCAATATACTTTTTAAGACAAGTATTAGCAGTGCAGCTTTGTTGGTCTCACAGCTGGAACCAGTCCCTCTTAGGCTGGTGCCTTCCCAGAATGCTCACTAAAAATAAAACTTTTCAAGATATGTGAATAATTTATTGTCCTTGTATGACAAATGACAACACTCCATGGCTAAATTGCCCTTTTTTACTTATCAACTGCTGCATCCATCATTTCCAATAAAAATAAAGCCAGCAGTTATCTCTGGGAAGAGCATGTCATGTAACCAGTCATGCTGAGAAAAGAAAGTGATGTCTCCTCAGGTCAGAAGGAATAAATTTTTGCAGGTAGAACAAACTAAACATTCCAAAAGCTGCCTGAGAAACTGAAGACTCATCAGTTTTAAACCTGTCATTGTTTATCATAGGTAAGGGTCTCTGTTTTGTTATTTGAGGATGTGCCCGTATTTTAATCTCTGCTGTATAAAGTCAAATTCACCATATTGTCTTACACAATGGTGCTGCTCTGTGCTGCGGACTTCTGAGGATGTTAGTGGGCATTCCTAGATCCAGAATACCATTCCACACATCACTGAAAGGCTCTGGATGCAAATCCAAACCGGATGTCTAAAAACCCAGGGGTACAAGGCCTCCTGCCACTGTTCCTCAAGGCAAAGGTGCTGCTTTTATAACTGCAGCACTTTCTTGTGAGTGGCAGAATATATTTAGAATATCCATGTAATACTGTGTAGAGATCCACTGTGTGGGAGGTTGATCTAGGAGTGGGACAGTGTCCTCTGCTGCTCCCAGGTCCATCTGTGGGAAGAGACACTGAAAGCTGGAACTCTTTGATCTTCTCCTGCTGTCTCTTGGCACACAGCGTCCACTTTGCTCTCTCCCTAAAAGTGTCAGTGGCTTTTCATATCCGCAGCATCTGTTGTTCATAAATGGATGATTCCTGTGGAAATCATCTTGGGAAAGGTGAGTTTTAGTATGAAATCTTGATATTTTTTAGTCCTCTTGAACACTGGCTGGAGCTCTGCACATATATAGAAGGGAAACCTTCCTGCTCGAGGCTTCTGTGCCTCTCAGTCCATATAACTGAGCAGAGTTGGGAATTTCCATGTCAGCATGGAATTTCACATTGCTCAGAAAGGCTTTGGAGTATGGGCTGTGGGTCCAGCAAGGAATGCAGAGAAATTGTGTGGTTTACAGTCATGAGAAAAAGAGAAAATAAAAAAGATCTGATGAGGATAGGAGTTACTACCTTGTGAAATAGGAGGTTTAGAAGCCATTTGGGGAACAGAGAGAATGATCAGCATCATGAACAGGGAAGGCACAGCACAAGCAGGGCTGTAGGCAAAAGGTATTTTCTATTCCCAGGGCTAAGCCAGAATTAATGAAGAGCAAAGCCTGAGGAAAGCACTCAGACCTGCAGAGTCTGAGCCAGTAACCCAATGCACTCATTCACACCAAATTACTGTGTGCTTTTTGTTATTGCATTGGACTCAGTACAAAATAACACTCAGTTTTGAAGGGGCTGGAGTTGGTTTTGTAGGCTAATGTTTGCTGATGTGCAGGAGCATGCACCTTCTGCCTGTAGCTGCTTTGGTATCAAAAAACTTAATGTTTTAAAATCCCAGCATGAAGAGCGTATATATGGAATGCCTGTGTTCCCTCCCCTCTTCATCAGAGGGTGGAGAATTAAACCAAAGAGCTCTGCAAAACCTAGATTTATTCCTTATAAAACTGCAGTACAAGAATGAAACAAAATATGGAAATATTTTAAGAAACAACACGTGGAATTTTTTTCTCCCAGAGATGGAATTTCTCAGGAATTTTCACTGTGATGCTTCCCCATTCACTTCCCTTCAGCTTGGTGCATTGAAGAGGAGGAGCTCAGAAGGACAAAAAGCTTTGCTTTGCTCCCCTCTGCTGCAGCCCGGACCCTGCAGGAGTGGAGCCTTTGTAGTTCCCAGTGTGGCTTCTCCCCTCACTCCTTGCTCCCAGTGCTGCTGTCTGGCCTGTTCCTTTGCAGGTTTTAGCACTGATCATTGTCAGCTCCAGTATCTCAGAGTTTCCTCTGTTGCTATGTAAAAAGAAAAGCCACACAGAGATGCGGTTTGTATAAACCTGCTCTGTGATTTGGGATCTGTTTGATTGGTGGTGAGACCAGTGCTGGTGCAGCTGAAGCTGTTTTCAGCCTTTCTGAGCACATCTAACTCCCATATGTTCTCATAAATTCTAGAGTATTTTCCTGTCTTTTTTAGCACATTTGTTCTATTTGTGATGCTGCCTTAACGTGTGTCTCACTTGGTGCCATTTCTGCCTTCAGTTCTTTCATGCCATGCTCAGACCTTGGCCAGCTTCATCCCACCTCCCCAAAAATCCTCCTCCTGGGCCTGCAGCACAGGAATCTTCAAGGAGAGAGGGGGAAGAAGTGAAAAGAACAAAATACAACAGGACAATCAAGCCCCCTTGAGCCCTTCCTCATACATCTCTGTGATGCTTCATCATCTCTAAAAATAGAACTTAAGTCCATTGGGAATCACAACTCATCTTTTGTTCTGTGAAGTACCCCTTGGGTTGGGAGTTTTGTTTTAAAAAGCCGTGGATGAGATAGAAGGGTGGGCATTAAGGTGCTTTGTTTCCTTGTTCTCACTAGCAGAGTGAGCACTTCTTAGGGGTGATGATCGACTTGAGAATGTCCAAACCAAGTTGCCCGTTGCTTTTCAGAGCTGGAATGAAAGGAGAAGGGAGACCACAGGAGCCTGAGGCATCAACATGCAGGGGGATTTGGGCAGAAGTGCATGGTCTTCCCCAACCAGGGCCCTTCTCACCTCCCATTACCTTAAACAAATAGAAAAATAATAGCATGAGTAATTAAACACAGAGAAAACAGGCGGGATCAACTGATTGATCTTTTGATGATAAATCAAGTAAATTGACACAGGTAGGAGTGGAAAGCAGAGCTCAAAGGGTGATCTGTTTGAATTGCAGTCACAATTTGAAACAGCATCTGTTGCCTTCTTGGGTTGAACTGAACACTTCCATGCCTGGGATTTTTTCAGAATTGACTCACTAAGACTCTTCAGGGGGAGTAAAATACTAAAAAGTTCTATGAAATTTGAGTTTGGGCTGCAAGGGATTGTAAAAGACCATTGCTCACATTTTGTGGAAGCTCAGGTGGAAGCCTGGGACATCCTCCTACCTCATGGCTGTGCCATTTTCTCAACTGGGGACTCAGATAAAGGTTTGGCTTCAGCTTCCTCTACCCAGTGGGTATTACTCTTCTGCAATTTCCAGAAAATGGCAGGAAAAATCCAATCTGTGCTCAGAAGGAGAGAGCTGGAATGTGAAGTAACATGACAAAGGCAGAGCAGAGGGACATGAACTGACGGTGAAGGGCAAGTCTGCAGCCCTGCCTGTAAGTGAAGTTTCTCTTCAGTCAGTATTTCACTGTGTGAGCAGTTTATTCTGGACAAGGAACATCTCTGAAATGGTGCAGAATGTTTTGTCCTGCCAGGAGCAGGGGGTGTGTGACCACACGGCCACCTTGGTGTCATGACTCAGAGTATTCCCACATGGAACAGCATCCCTGGAGGATCGACAGGGATCATTTTTGTGAAGTTTCTTTTCCATCTACGTGATGTAGAGAAGCATTTGACAAATGATGATGGCAAGCGTAACTCTGATGATAAAAGGCACATGAACAGTTTTGTGTGAACCTGTGAAATCTCTGGAGTTATTGAGAATTTCCTCCTTCCTCCCATTGGAACAAACTTTAAGAAATCAAATCATTGATGGGTCTGATTTATGTAGTGTCATTTATGTGGTGTAATTGCTGGGGTGCTGCAGGTGCTCGGATCCTTCACAGGCATGGCATCTCTCCTGTGGAGGATAATCCCTCCTCACAAGGACAGCCCAGGGTTTTGGGGGTCTGCCACTCCATCAGTGTCCTCCATAACACAGTGAGGGGCACAAACAGGGGGGAGAGATCTGATGAGGCAGAGACGAGGCAGATCACAGAACCACAGCATCAACGAGGTCGAAAAAGGCCTGAGATCAGCCAGTTCAGCCTATGCCCCACCACCACCTTGCGTCCATGTTCAACCAGACCATGGCACGGAGTGCCACGTCTGCTCTCCCCCTAAACACCTCCAGGGACAGGGACTCACCACCTCCCTGGGACGCTGGTTCGATTGGGAAGGTGTGTGTGCCAAGAGCACCGTGTGAGGCACTGAGGGGGCACTGAGGGGGCACTGAGGGGGCACTGAGGGGGCACTGAGGGGACACTGAGGGGGCACTGAGGGGGCACTGAGGGGGCACTGAGGGGGCACTGAGGGGGCACTGAGGGGGCTGTGGCAGGCGGCCCAGCGGTTTCGAGGAGATTTGAGAAGATTTAAGATTTGAGGGGGCCAAGGATGCTGGGGACGGCTGGGCGAAGCTCCGTTCGGGGAGGGCGCGTTGCGGGGCGCTGAGGGTGGCCCGGCCGCCATTTTGCGAAGGACAATGCCCGCCGCGCGGGGCGGGGCGGGAGCGCGCGCACGCGGCGCGCACGTAGCGCGCAGGCGGCGCACGGGCGCGCGCGCGCCCCTCCCCTCCCGCCGCCGCCGCCGCGTTATGTAACGGCCGCGGGGCGCGCGCGCGCTCCCCCCACCGGCCCTTCCCCCTCCCTCCCGCCGCGCCCCCCCCCGCCCGGGCCTGGCCCCGCCCCCTCCCCGCGCGCCGGGACCCAATGGGCAGCGGGAACGCGCCCGAGGGGGAGGGGAGAGCGCGGCGGGTGCGCGCACGCACAGCCGCGGGGCCGCGCCTTGCCCCGTGCGTGCGCGCTCCCGGGCCCCCCCCGCCTTCCCCTCTCTCTGTGTCCCTCTCTCTCCCTCTCTCCGCCGCGCTCGGCCGGCTCTGCGCCCCCTTTGTGCGCGCTCCGAGCCGCCCCCGCATCGCCGACTCGCCATGGCCGACGAGAAGCCCAAGGTGAGGCCGGCGCGCTCCGCAGCTCTCGCCGCCGCGCTCGGCCCCTCAGGCGGCGGCCCCGGCCCGCAGCCCCCGCGCCGCCTTTGCGCGCCATTTTCCTGCGCGGGTGGGGGGGGCCGGGGCCGCGGCTCCCGGGGCGGGCGGGGGATCCCCGGGGAGAGGGGGAGCGAGCCCGGGCCGCCTTCCCGCCCTCCGCGGGGAGAGAGGCAGGTCTGGAGGCGGTTGCTGCTGCCTTCCTCCTCCTCCTCCTCCTCCTCCTCCTCCTCCGCGGCCGCAGCATCCCCGCCGTCTGCCTCGGCAGCCGCTGCCCTCACGGTCCCCTCACGGCTCCGGCCCCTTTGTGCCGCCTCTGGCCCCGCTCGGGGCCGGGGGGGCAGCGGGGGCTCCGCTCCGCACGGCAGGAATTAACAGAGGCCGCCGCCGGGGGGTTGACTTTTTTTTCTTTTTTTTTTCTTTCTTTTTTTTTTTTTTTTTTTTTTTTTCCCCCTCCCCCTTCCTTCACTTTTTTTTTTTTTTTTCCTCCCCCACACTATTTTCAAACCGAGCTGGAAGCGGCGCAGGGCGCGGGGCCGCGCGCGGGCTGACACATGGCGGGAGGCAGCTCCCAGAAAAGAGGGAAAACAAAGCTGGAACTGGGGGTGCCGGACACCCCGAGCCCCGTCCCTCTGCCCTCAGGTCCGCCCAGAACACGAGGGACCGAGCTGGAAGTTGATCTTCCGCAGTTTTCCGCTCCGACAGGGTCGGGCTGCTTGATGTGGAGTTTTTTTCAACGTTTTCTGAAGGAGAAGACCTGGGCCGTTTTAGGTTTTATCACTGTTTGAAACATAGTCCTTTAAAGTATCTGCAAAGTTTTTTTTTTTCATAAGGACATCAAACGGTAGGAAAAAGTTTGAGGTGCAATGAGAAAGAACGTTGGTTGGGATCACAGTTATAACACAAATCAGCTATAATAGATCAGAGATCAGAGTTATAACATAGGTAACTTAATTCCATTCAATGGGAATGCTGGTGTTGCATATTGTTGTGCTTTTGCTAGAAAAACCTTTTTTTTTTTACTGTTTTGAATGCCTGGCCTGGTAGTTCTTCATTGCTAAATTTCCAGTCTGCAGAATCACAGCTAATATCAGATTTTTTTTCTTTGTATGTGGCTTTTTGTCTTTAAATTTTCAACTGAAAAGTGCTGACCCTTATTCCCTAATTCAAGGTTTCAAGTCACTAAACATCTTTGATATCTATTTCCTCCTTTTCGATAACCTGTTGCACCTCGGTAAATGTTAACTTCTAGTTTCATACCTTTTTTAAAAAGTGTTGGTTATTTTTTTTTTCTTTTATTTCCTCCACAGGAAGGAGTGAAGACTGAAAACAATGACCACATTAATCTGAAGGTGGCAGGGCAAGATGGGTCTGTGGTGCAGTTTAAGATTAAGAGGCACACACCACTTAGTAAACTAATGAAAGCCTATTGTGAACGACAGGTATGATCTCAGGAGAACGGTGTCTGGGGGAGAGCTGCTCTCCAAAGGGATAGAGGAAGATAGTTAAAAGTCTTAAAACTTTAATAAATACACAAAATGATAGAGATAGAACAGAAACTAATTGTGCTGTGGGAAGTGTATCGTCCTTGGGGTCTGTTACAGGGTGGACCGAGAGGGTGGTGGCAGGAAATGGGTGAAATAAAGATCTGTTGTCATCTATGAAATCTACATTTATAGGTGGAGACTTCTGGGAGGTAACTGCTGCTGTCATGCTCAGAAATATTTGTGTGGAAAGGGTGGGTTTGGGATGACCTCAGGGGAGAGAGAGTTAAGTGATAATCAGGGATTTTTATAGCTCTGAGTAACTTCTTGGACTGGTCATTGGCTTCTGATTTATTAGCTTAATTGTACTGAGATGAGAAGATGCCTTGAGAAGGAGCTTGTACATTTGGTGATGAGCTTTGTCTTTTTTCTTGTGTCCTGGTTGAGAAATGAATCTTCTGAGAGACACACACACCCCATGGGTTTGCTGATGTGGTGGCAGCTGTAGCCAGTCTGTGAGACTGCAGGCAGCTATTGCAACTTTTAAAAACACCTGTTTGAGTGGAGCTATGGAACTCTTCCTTCTGAAGCTCTTGAATAAGGAAATTTTGTCTCTGTTATCCACAACATTTTTTAATGTCTGTCTGCCTTGAAAAAGTTCTAGCTCTACAAAAGTGTTCAGAATTTGTGAATTTGAAATTTTTTTAAACATAAATATTCAAGGATACTGTTGCATACAATAAAGTCAGTGTAAGATATTGGTGCAACTATTTGATCACCAGGAAAAAAAAACCCTGTGATTCAGCTAGAGAGTGGTAAAACCTCTTCAGTTTGCTCTGTGCCACAACAGAATAAGAGAAGAGACAGGAAAAATTAGCTCTTGCTGAACATGTGAATGTGTTCTTCTGTGAGTGTTCTGTGGAGAAATTAGTGATTGTTGGAAGCTGTGAGTTTGTTTTTCCTACCTCAGTCATACAAACTCTTGTTATATTTTGCAAATCACCGTGTTGCTTTTTCCAGTCATAGAATGCAGTTATATCTGTGTGTCAGGGAATTTGAGGATTGGTTATTTGTAAGGTCCTGGCATACAAAATTTTAAAGTGTCATTCATTCTTAGTTACTTTGAAGCAAGCAAAAGTAATACTCCAAATTGTCTTAGATTGCCAGAATGTTTACTCTGCTTAAAGAAAAACAAAGCCAAAGCCACCAAAAAAAACCCCAGGTATCAACTGGAGGAAAAACATCAGTAAATCCTGAGAATGGGAGACTTTTTCTGATCTTAGTTTTAAGCTATTAAGTATCCAAAGAAAATTTTTGTGGATGTAGATTTCTCTTTAGGTGCTTACTTCTGAAATTTTGCTGAATGTTTTTGAACAAAAAAACATTTGTTCTACATGTCTCTAAAAGTTAGATTTTATTCTAGTATTTATTTATCTAACTAGGTGCACCCCAACTTAAATCCTTAATTTTGGAGAGGTGATAGAGAACTTAGCAGCTATAAAGGATGATAATCATGTGTTGTGTGTAGTAGATCTAAAATGGAAGTAACTAAATTTGAGTGACCTGTTGAGAAGATCAAGACTATTTGTGATTAAATGGTGAAAAAAATCATCTTCAGGTTTTGTGGACACTAAGCTCACCAAAGCACAGTTTTTCAGTATGTTTTCAGCTAACATTTATTTAGCTCATAAAGTTGTCATGAACCTGGACAAAAGCAATGCTCTGGGAATAGGAAATACATGTTTTAAGAAACACAATGTCAGAGAAAAGGGCTCAAACCAAATGTTACTGTGCAGAATTGTGTTGCTGCCATGAGACTGAGCCACACACTTCCTTAGGCCAGATGATGTTCTGAGTGAATACTGCAGTGTCTTGATCATGCTGCAGAAGGCATTTTACTGTGAACCATAAAGTTAATAAAAAAAGTTTACTCACATTTATTAAAATATTTTTCCTGACAAATCTATTCCTCAGGAATAATTGCTACATTGTTTTCTGTTGTGTGGGACATCCGCTCTTGCCAGGCTGAGTGAAGGCTTCTCTTCTAACTCAGAGATGCCAAAGCACGACCCTGCAATCCATTGGATTGGCTGCAAAACCAGATTGGGCTCTTGGATGGGTAGATACCCTGGAGAGAATGGATAGAACTGGAAAGGAAGTTTGTGTCCCCAAATGTCACTGACCTGCCTTTGCAGAATGTGTGGTGCTGTAAAATACCTTGGAAAACTCACTGGTGATTTTGGAGCTGATGTTATGAGTAGCAGGGGTTGGTTGTTATGCCCAAGTTACATTTTTCAGTCTGTTGGCTCAGGTGGGGATGAGAGATATTCTTGTAGGGATGGAAGAGGTCAGTAAAATGAGTGTTGTGTGGTAGAAATGCTTATCCCAAAGTACTGGCTAATTTTTGGAAGTAGAAAATTCCTTTATTTTTTCCATCTGTGCATGGAACAACTTGATACATTGATTTCTTTATAATAGGAATTGGAGATCAGAAAGTTCCCATTTTTTATTCTTTGCTGCTGCAGACTAATTTTGTTGTTGCATTTGTGGAAGAAATATTTTAGAAACCTTTGTTTTTGGAGAAGATCAAAAAGGAGCATTGAGTGTTGTTGTTGGACATTTATTACCTAGGGTGTTGCACCTATTTTTTAAGTGAATTACTCAAAAGCACAATAAACCTGCTGGCCTTTGGGGTGTAGCAGAAATGGCTTTATTTTAACTTAGTGGGGGCACTGTTGCTTCTCATGAGTTGTTGGACACAATGCAGCGTTTAATACAAAACAGATTGCAGGGATTTGGAGTGAAATGCCTAAAAGTCAGGGCATGAGGGAAGGACAGAATCTCTGGTGGCTTTTAATGATGGTGCTGCAATTCAGTGACAAATTCAAGAGTAAACTACTGAGTACTTTTACACCAGATTTATTTCCCTTTGTGTTATTTCTCTTTATCCAGGGGTTGTCAATGAGGCAAATCAGATTCCGGTTCGATGGGCAGCCAATTAATGAAACAGACACACCTGCACAGGTAAAAGCAAAAGCAAGACTAAAGAACTATTTGAAATTTGCTGCAGGAGTTGATGCTTCTGTTTCCTATCAAATACTTACGTAAATGTATATGTTACTGATAGAACTGGATCTTTTTTTACCATTATTTTGGTGTAACTACTTTAGGATAATTAGAAATGGAATCCAGGACTTTTGATATTTTGAATAATAAATCTGTCTCACTGCAATAATAAAACAGAGAAATTAAGTACAGGGTACAGATGGTGAGTCATGTAAAACTTTTGCTTTATTGATTCATGGCTCTGAAATAAGGATGGCAAGTTAAGAGTTGAGGTTTTTTTGAAGCAATGGCTTTATTTTTTTATATAAAATCTTGCCAGGATGTTATCAGAGAGATCCTGATTGCAAGATTGCATTTGTAATACAAAAGTAATTTCTGTTGTTTGTAATCTGAAGCTGTTTCATTAGCATGGAATTAATGAATGCAGTGAAGTTTGGGTTGTCTGTAAATGTTTGAAAGAAGGCCATTTCAAGAACAGAATGGTTCCCTGTGGTCCTGGAGCATTTTTCTGTCCTGCTCCACGGAGCTGTGTTTAATTAGCCTGACCAAGTGATAGTTTTATCTGCTGTTTAGAGCTGCTTGTAGTGAAATAACGGACTTCAGTTTTCAGTTCTGAATTTTCCAAGGTGTTGCTTCAAAGATTGTGCCTCTTGTGGCTCCAATCTATGCAACTTCTTAATTTGCAATCCTGATAATTAAGGCAACAGTATGATTTTTATTTTCCATCCATGTTTTGCTGAAGCTCAGACCAGTGTGTTTGTAGCTTTGGTAAATGGCGTAGACCAGTTTGGTTTCTTGAGCAGCAACAGAGTCTTTAGAAGTATCACTTAAATTAGTTACAGCACCTTCTTCAGTTTCGGTGCAGATTTTGTCAGTAGGTGCCATTAACATCCCAGGAATATCAACTGTAAAACTTAGGGTGAAAAAAGATAATTACATCAATGAAGCATTGCTGTTCTTCACTGGCAGTTGTTACATGGTTACATGCCAAGTGTTTTTAATTTTTTTGTGCTTGCTGATCCTTGGTTTTACTGCCTGGTTGGGCAGGGGCTTTAATTCCAGTCTGCTTCCCCAGTGCTGTAGCCATTTGAGCAGCAGCAGACAACTGGAATTGTGGCAATGTTTTAAGGTAAACTGAGGGAGTAAATAGGAGAACAAAGGTGCAATGGCAAAGCAGGCAATAGAAATCAAATATTATAAATCTTTTTCTTAGGAGTCACACAGTGTACCCTGAAGTTAGTACTAGAATTCATTCTAGGTCAACAGTTATCAATTGGCATTTTTTTTCTGTGCAGTTTCTTTGCTTTTGAGTTAGTGAGTTTTGTTAAATGTACAAAAGGGTGGTGGTGGAGGGGAGTGGGGCTTCTCAGGTTAAGTTCCATAAAAAGTAAACATAAAGTCAGGAACTGTAAGTGCAACCCAGACTGCTGTAGAGATGTGAGAAGAGTTGAAAGCCCTTTTTTCTTTTTTTTTTTTTTTTTTTGCTGTAGTTGGAAATGGAGGATGAAGATACAATTGATGTGTTCCAGCAGCAAACAGGAGGAGTTTACTAAAACAAACACACAAAAAAGAACCTGCTACTTTCCTCTCCAGAACTGTGCTCCCACAGGCGACACTTCACAATTAGAAAAATGAGACTTGGTTCAGCCACATCCTGACTACTGCAGTATAGTTTTCTCTCTTCTCTGATTTTTTTTCTTATTCCTTTTATTGTACATAAAGTAACTGGTGATGTGCACAGACATAATGCATATTTTTTTTTAACTAAATGGCCAATGGTATGTTTTGATCAACATTTAATGGAGATGGGGTGGGAAAACAAACTGGTTCTGTGAAAATGCCCCTCTCTCCGTTAGTGGCATGCTCCTTCTACTTTTACAGAATCACAGAATAAGCCGAGTTATCTTTATATTCCAGTAAGTTATTTTGCTCTCACTCTTCAAAAACAAAAACCTTGCATAACTTGTTTGATTGGATAATTTCAATGTTTTTCTTTTATCATTGTAAAACCAAGGGCAATTTTATAACTTTTTTGTACGTAGCTGTTACATGTAGAGCAATCTCTGTCTAAGTAGGAGTAAATTACTCTTAAAAAAAAAAAGGAAAAAAAAAGTCCTAGATAGTTTTCCCTTCAAGTAAAACGTCTTGTTGTTTAAATAAACTTCTTGTTTAAAATAACCAGTTTTCTTTCTTTTTCTGTGGAATAATAGTACTCAGCACCTGTATTTCTTTCTCTGCAGTGCTTTATGCTTCTCAAATCTCAGCTTTCTCTGTGGTAAGTAAGCATAATCCCCCTGTCTAGGCAGAAGACTGTTAAAAAAGGAAAGGCTTCCTTGAGGTCTGTCAGTCAGCAGTGGAACTGGACAGAGAAGTCTGTTTTCTCTTATTTTGATTTCTTTTTCTTTTGTTGTGAATGTTCTGCTAAGCCAAAACTGTTTGATTAGGCAAACTGCAAAATACTGAACTACTTAGTAATGCCTTTGGGTTGAGCTCTTCTTGTCAGCCTTTAATGGAAGCATCAATATTGTTGTTGCAGTAGTTTATTTAAGACTCTGTATTTGAATGCTTATTGATGTAAACATCAAGTTAAAGGGAGCAAATAATTTCATTAACCTTCAGTTTACCATGGTATCAAATGGGAGCTGCTTGGAAATGTAAAGCAAAAATAAAAAATTGAGTTCTGTTTTTGGGTGTATTTAGCTATGGTGGTGGAGATTGCAAGCTCTGCTTTACCCCACTCTGCTTTTCTACTTGGAAGAGGGAAAGAAGCTGGAAATACTGAAGGGAGATACAGTGATGGTGGTGTTTTTCACAAGTGTTTTCCACAGTGCTTGAGTTCTTGGGAAATTTTTGGGTGAAATTTAGAGGTTGGAGTGCAATCCGTGGATGTTCATGGAAGTTATATACCTGTTAAACCCACAGCATTCTCTGATGTCTTGGGAATGTTCAATATTTTATAGTGTTTGCAGTAAGTTAATGCTTTTTAAAGTATAAATTTCTTAGAAGAGGCAGGCCACTCTTTGGTGGTAGTTTTTGTAGCAGTTAATTCAAGGAGTGATTATTACATGTGGGGCCTATGCCTGCTTGAGCTGAAAGTTTTGTGGCAGAATGATGGGAGTGTGCATTTAGCTGATGAGTTGTGATCTATTTGTCTTCTGTCAGGAATAACACATTTGATGCTACATTAGTTCCATCTAATGGAGATACATGAACATCTGTTTTTGCAGTTGCTTTTGAGCCTGTAGCTGAAGAATGTAATCTACTGTGTGCCTTTGTTTTAATTCAAGGAAATGCTACTGCCAAGCAGATTACCTCTCTGTGGGATGTATCTTGTAGACTTCTGTGGTGTTTTGCAGGATTGAAATTCCTAGTTGTGAACAAATGTTTACATATCCAAACTCTAAAAGGCCTAGAAAAATCTACTTTGAAGAAAAGAAGAGGGTGGTGGGGGAATATATTTCAACATCTTTCCTAGGTTACACATGGAATACATTGCTCTTTGGCTTTAGAGGCTCTGGCTTTTAAGCTGACTAAACTTCTGATATCAGTGTATAAAATTCTTTCAAGTTCATGTCGTGCCAAGACTTTTCCCAGGAGAAAGCTGTTTTTATCTTGTTTGGCCAAAAAAGGTGTTTGGACTTGCTTTAGTTTCTGTGAGAAACTGTTAGAAAGGGTGAGGTCTCCTTAAATACAGTTTTTTTTTTCATTTCAACTTAAGATTGTGAAGCTCAAAACTCCCTGTTGTATCTTGCCTTGTACTTTTTATTTCTTGAGGCAACCAGAAGTCAAATGACAGGTACTGAAGAGCTTTTAAAAACAATGTCTTCATTTCCTGAACTAGTCAAGTGTTACTTCATCTGTTATGAACTTATGTGCAGCATTCACCTACATTCCTTCATTTTTCATCTTTTTGCTGTTACCTGGGCTTGCTCATGTTCCTGAAATGATTCCTCTAACAATGCTGAATGATGTTATGTTAGGTGGTGACTCCAGCCAAAAAGTGTTAAATAGTATTTTCTGAGATAGCTTCTTGGTTTTTTAATCACAAAAACATCTGGACTTCAGTGACTTCATTCCTCAAGAGCCTCAAATATTGAATTTCCATTAGTGTAGCAAATGTGGGTGATTTCTGGTTCTGATATATAACATGTTGATGTAACAGTAATGCAGAAATACAGTCCTTTTTTTAAAAAAGAAAATCACTCATTCTGCGTGGTCTTGCAAATACTCTCTTTATGTCAGAACTTGTTTCTGTCTGTACTGCTCTTCCGGTGCTACAGATTTACCTGTGGATTCCTGATTGCTGGAACCCTCAGTGGTTTTACTCTGACTACCTCTTATAAGGAAGCTGCTGCTGGGAGTGATGATTTGGAAGTGGTATGGAGTAGAAGGATGTGGACATTTTGTATCAACTAATTTGGAGTTCACTTCGCTGCTTGGCTTGGTTTGTGGCAGTTCCTAGGTTTAAACTGGTAGCCACATGAACTTCAGGAAGTCCACTTGTCAGAGGATAAAGGCAAACTGGGCAAAGAGGTCTTGTCAGGCTAGTTGGGGAGTTCATGTTTTATTAAACAGCTGGGATCTTTCAAGAGCCTGGGAAAATTAAATTATTACCTACAATTTTCAAATAATGTGTTCTAAAGTGATTGCCATGCAATTTAGTTAATATTTCTCCCATGGTTTGTGAATGAAAAAGGATGGAGGAAGTTATAATTGGATAAAGTCCCCTGGTGAGTTCTGGTGGATGGGTGGACCCTGCCTTCAGCCTGTGCTGGGGTTTTAGTCTCTCAAGTTATGGGCGTGACCAGTTATTTAAAAATAGATAACCAAAATTCTGTCAGGTACCTTAAGTAATGCATTTTTATTCATGTGCAGGGGAGATAATGACAGATCGAAATCACAGCTGTTTTGGGTGGTTGACACCTGAAAATCAATGCCTTTGTTTATGTGCACAGTGGGGATCACTGCCACCCCAGGGGGCTCCTGTGGGGGTCAGTGCTAACTGGCCAGAGGTGCTGATTCAAAAGGGGGTGAGGAGTGCGAGGCTGCTCTGATATGGAATCTTCCAGGCTGCCAGGACTGTAAGGAAATACTCCAAGTGGTAACATGAGAGAGATTCTTGTACTGGCATATGGAGGGTTTTTTAACAAAAGAAAAATCCCTGAAGTAATACTGAGATAATTGCTGCTTCAAGATAGCTGCAATATCAGAGACAGCATTTCTGCAAGGGTTAAGGGCAAAGCAAGTTGGTTTTCCAAAGCAGGAATTTTCCTTTCTAGTACCTTCACTTCATTACTTCCGAGTCAGTGTAATGTAAGTGCTGTCATTTGCCTGGTGGATGCTGGTTCTATTGTGTCTCTTATTGCAACATTAATGAAAAGGCATAATGTGACTGGCTCAAAGAGAGGAGACTTCCTAGGCTTCAGCCAGCTGGAAGTAACTGAATTTCTAAGGAATTGCAATTTGTTTTCAAAGCTAAAGATGAAAAGATGCCTCCTTGGTTGTCATGTGAACAATAAATCCAAGTATTTTTCTTAGAATTTTAGGTAGTGGCCTCTTCTCAGTACATGTGTGTCAGCTGCTGTGGTGGACTCTTGTGGAGTATTAATCTAAAAGTATTTAAATGTCTTGGATTATTATTAATTATATTACCAGCATAATGAATGCATTTAATTCTCTGGTTTATTGAGGTTTGTTCATTCTGCCTGTAACAAGTTTCCAGACAATGGGGCAAGAGAAAACTGAGTCAAACCCTCTTCTTTTTGTGCATTTTGTTTGGAATAAAGAAGGATGTTCTCTGTGACAGCCATAAGTAGCAGAGACTGGCATGAAGAAACCCTTGGTCACAGAAGGATGACCAAGCTGAGGCTTTTCTCAAACCAGTGGTATCTCTCCTTACCTAACCCTTGCATTTCCTGGAGTCTTGTTCAGACTTCCAGAATGCACAATGCACTGTGCATTCCTTGCTGGTGGAATTTCAACAACAGGTGGAATTGTTTGGTGTGAGTCTTCCAGACAGCTGCTGAGAATTGTTCTGGTCAAGTGTCATCATCCTGAGATGGATTGTGAGCCCAGCCATCTTTATAAACCCCTTCATCTTGTAATGGATAAATAATCAGAAAAGCTGCTTTTGTTAAAGGTGCACCCTGCAGCCAGGCCTGTGAGAGGTCAGTGGGGCCCCTTGGAAACACTTAAGGTTTAGAATTCTAAAGCTCCGTGTGAAAACTGGTTGTGTTGTAGGGAACGGGTTTTTCTTCATCTTGACTTTTAAGAAGTGGCTCTGTGTGTGTGTCTCAGGGGTACAAATTAAAGAGTAAAATCCTGTGGGTTTGAATAAGAAGCATTTAGATGACAAAATACTTCTGCAAGTTCCTGGGAGAGCAGATGTTTACCTGTGTGCAGGTAGGTATCATTTGACTTCTTAATGCCCAAGCCTGAGGGATAATAGAATTAAAACAACTGTGTCATGTTACTTAAAATTTCCCTTTAATCTACCTCTAAAAAAATGTGATGCAACAGAGAATTCCCTGGGGATCTAAATAGTGGCTGGAGCTTTAAAAAAAAACCACAAAACAAAACAGGATTTTAAAAAACGGATCCTAGATTAGAAAAAATAATACATTAGTCCTGATTGTGTGCATTTAACAGTTCTTATCTTTCATGATGTGTGTTAATATTAAGGTTGGTGTTTAATTCAGATGCTGGACAACTCATGTTATACATAGAGGGATGTAACACAATCCTTGTTTTCTCCAGACCAAAAAAATTCTCTATAAAGTGTTTTGGGGGTAGTAATGGCTGTTATTAGTGGAAACTGGGAGGGGTAGATGGAAAAGATGGATTTTCTTTCCCCTTTCTCCTTCCTTTATGCAAGTGCTCATTGAAATAATATTGCTGATGCGTAGGTTTTGGAGTAAAAATTGTGATCAGGGAGGTATCTGTGTCTGTGAAAGTTTCAGGGAGCCCCCAGTCACCAAATCAAAGGTGGATGTGGCAGATGGATTGGCCAACACGTGGTGATTTAAAGTCTGTGACCCAAAATGTGCAGCCTCGTGCTTTTGCCAGCCAGGTGAGCAGCATTGCTGGGCTTTGTACCCTAGCTGCACTAACCGTGCTGGAACTCGAGTTTCATGCAATAATCTAAAATAATAAATTGCCAATTATTTTATTCTGCCATG